CTCTCTCTCTCTCTCTCTCTCTCTCTCTCTCTCTCTCTCTCTCTCTCTCCCCCCCCCGCCTACCTGGAGCGCGCACGCTCGTGTCGTGCGCCTGTGTGCGCCCTGCCCCTCTCTCTCTCTCCCTCGCATGCACACACTTGCGATGGGGGAAGTCGTCTGCTCTGCCCTGCCTCTCTCTCTCCCTCACATGCACACACTTGCGATGGGGGGGAGTCGTCCTCTCTTCGTTGTCAGCGTCCCTTGTGTGCGTGTGTCTGTGGGTGTGTGCATCATACTCTGTGTTTGTGGAACAGTTTCTTTCTCCCTTTTTTTCCTTGCCAAGGTTATATCGTGTCCAAGCGTGTGTTTCCAAATGCTCAGTCAGTGGTTTTTGGGCCCAGGATGACGTATGGTCCAAATGCTCAGTCAGTGTTGCATTCTCGTGAAACACAGTCATAAGTATGGCGCAGATCCCCAGAACCGACCAGATAATACAGAGTAAGTACAATTACAGCGGAAGACTTGATAGTAGTTGATACACATGGACCGACTCCTGACTCAGACTGCAACCAATCCCTCACCAACATACATCGGTGGTGTGAAAGCCCTGGCCTTGGACATGGAAGAAAAGGCCAGGGTCAACTCTTATACACAGATGAATGGAGGGGAGGAGAGACGAAGGGAGGAGGAGACGGAAGACGACGTCAACTCAATGTTTCCAAAAATAGTATCTCGAAATGTCAGAAGTAGTGAAAATCCAAAATGTCGCGAATACAGTCTCACAGTGTCTCGGATATCGAGCTCACAATGTCAAGATACATCTCCAGAGGGAGATGAAGTCAGATCCCAAAAGTAGTCCTCAACCTGCAGTCCCAATGTTGCTATCTCCAATATCATCAGAACTCGTAACCATCCTTCGTACTCGTAGTAGTCCAGTAGGAGTAACCCAAGAGGTAGACTTAGACTTAGAGGGAAGGGGGGGAGAGAGAGAGAGAGAGAGGAGAAGGAGAGAAGGAAGAGGGAGGAAAGGTGGAACCTTTCTCCCTCATACCTGAATGGCCGCGCTGTTCCTGCTGATGTCCGCTGAGGCCGAGCCTGGCGGTGCAGCTATGGCGCTGCAGTGCTGGGCGCTGGGCTGCGGGCTAAGCCAGAGGGCCGGCGCTACTTGCTGCTGCTGCGCTAATTGCTGCTGCGCTAATCCTTCTCTCTGCTGGGCTAATTCTCCCTGCTGCTCCGCTATGCCAACCGAAACGCTGTACTAACCTGTAGACTAACCTCTCTACTGAGGCTGGTACCCAGCTGATATAGCGCTGAGCCAGCCTCTCTGCTGTTAGTACTTTCGGGTCTGGACCGTTGATCCGATCAACGGTTCAGATCTGAATCTGAACCTGAAAAGTGGCGCCTAAACTGTGCTGCGCCGCCGGCCGGTCTTACCGATGGACCGGGACCGGCCTAACGAAACTAGCCGTTGGGTCTGGTGGGGTCTAAAACTAGGCCTACCGGACTCTAATCTGAAACGACGGTTCCTAGGCCTACCTGGACCTAGCTGGGACCGTCTTGACCCGGTACCTAGGCCTAACCCGTGCCTACTACAGGACCGGGCCCTAACTGGGGCCAGTGTGGTATCAGTATGCCACACACTCCCCTCCTTCCGAGCTACCTGCGAGGGCGAAGCTGTCTATCCGACGTCCGTGTGGGGCGGGTGGGTTGGGCAGCCTCTTTAGCAAGTCGCTGTTTTTCGTAATTCGCGAAGATGAGGGGTGCTGTCGCCTTCAGGTCAGCTCATGAAATCCAGCGTGTGTCGTCGGGATCACATTGCGTGAATGTGACTTTGTATTGCATCGGTTTGTTGTCGTGCTTGCGATGAGCGAGGACACGGTCGACCTCTTGGTCACCGTCCATTGAAGGAGGGTCGTGTGACCGTCTGACTGGGAAGTCCGCTGAGGAGACTGGAGTGTAGACTGCCAGCTTCGAAGCGTGAAATACTGGGTGGACGGTCAAATGCGGGGGAATCTCGATCACGAATGAGGGCCAGCGGGGTCGTCGCCAGCTGCTGAAGTGACCTTCCATGGCCCAAACCACTTAGGGAGGAGCTTGCACGAGACGTGCTGCTCGAGCGCAAATTCCTCGGAGGTGACCCAAACAAGGTCGCCGGCGCGGATTGGACATGGGATGCGACGCCGGTTCGTTTGCTGCTGCATACGGACCTGAGCCTTTTGCATATTTGCGCGGGCTTTGGCCAGCAGCTCCCTGTACTTTCGTGTCAAAGCGGGGGAGTAAGTGGCTTCGATATCGGCAGCCCGTGGAAGCAGAATGTCTGCGAAGATGTGGCCTTTCCGTCCACCGTGATGCAACTCAAATGGAGTCATGCCAATCGCTGGGTGCACCAAAGTGTTGTAGGTGAACTTGATGTTAGGAAGGCGGTCAACCCAGTCCTTCTAATCCAGGCGGATGAGTGTGCAGAGCATTATTTGCGCAATCTGGTGCGCACGTTCCGTTTGCCCATCCGTTTGAGGATGCCGTGCGGAACTCGGTTTCATGCTGGGGCCGGATTCCACCATGAGTGTCGTCCAAAAGGCTGACATGAAACGAGTGTTGCGGTCGCTGACAATGTCTTTCGGGACGTCGTGGCCGCAAAACCAACCGGTGTGCAAAAGTCGTGCTAGCTCGGGAGCCGTCGCATGATACTTGCATGGAAGAAAGCGAGCGTACATGCTCAAACGGTCGACGACTGTGAGAATACCATCATGGCCAAGGCGATCGCGTGGGAAAGGACCGGTCACATCCATAGCAATGGAGAGACATGGTTCCCAAGGAATCGGCAATGGTTTCAGTTCGCCCTACGAGAGCTGATGACGCCCTTTGTTCCGATGGCAAACTGCACATGACTGAATGTACCGGTTGACGTCGCTGATGATGTTCGGCCAGTGGAATCGCTGGCAGAGTCGTGCAAGTGTGCGTGCGACGCCAAGGTGTCCCTTCAGCCGCGAATCATGGTATTCACCAAGGAGGCGAGTGCGCAAGATGCAGTCTTGGGGAACACACAACAAGTCCTTGCCTCGCGTATGGAAAATCAAGTAGCCGTCGATAATGCGATCATTGCTTGTCGGCGGGTGATCCGATGATAAGTCCGCGTAGAGAGTGAAGAATCCTGGATCCGACTTGTAGCCGTTTACGAAATGCTGTTGCAGGTCCTCGTTGAGGGCGAATGTGGAGTGCACCAAGGCGCAAAGATCGGGTCTTTGCGAGAGAGCATCCACTGCCTTGTTCGAGGGGCCTGGAATATGCTTGGAGGTGAAGTCGAACTGGTCAATGAAATGCATGCAGCAAACGATCGTGCTATTCACCGTGTCTTGCGTCTTGTAGTATGTCAAGTCTTGTAGTATGTCAAGTCTTGTAATATGTCAACGGATTGTTGTTCCCCGTTAACGCGCCGCAGCCTTAGGGGGTCGGCCAAGGGAAGGTCCAGTTGTTGTTGAATGGCCGGGCCCCGATTCATTCGGCTTGACACAAAAAAAAAAGAACAAAGAAAGAAAAAACAAGAATCAAATATACCAAAATGAAAAAAAAAAAAAAAAAAAAAAAAAAAAAAAAAA